TCTAAATTTGCAAACGTCAAGTTCTCAGTAAAAGTTCAATTCTCATTCTCAGAGTTATGGTTCTCTCATATGCATGTACACTGACGGTTCAAAAGATTCGTAATCTTTATGTGATTTCACCATCCTGTTCCAATGATGTTGTTTTCATATGTTGATGACATGCCCAGTAAAAACATGATGTAAACATATGTGGTTGCGTTGCAAACTTGTTATTCTGATCTTTGTTCAACACTCATCCTACATAATCGTGATGTAATCAGCAGGCATGCTGAAGGTATCAACAATAAAAGTCACACATACTTACGACATATCGCTGATATAATCTTCTTGGTTACATTTATGAAATGCAATACACACATTGTCCAAACATGGATTCTGGAACATGAATCCAACCCAGATCTTGATCGGTTTGATTTTGATTCAATTTTAATTGTCATTTTATTGTATTGGTATTGGTATCTCGATTTTGATTTCTGATTTCCTCTGTTGGCATCATTTGGTTTCCTTTTGGTCACAATACTTTGCTTACTGGGGCAACACAGTGACATGAGACGCTGGATACGTTCCGGATGTACCGTACAAATAAGAAAAACAACAATGTTTGTTCAACAAAAAGACTTTTAATGTAAAGAAGTAATTGTAGGTAGCCATAGAAGAAAATCCCAATGATATATAACAAAAGAAAAGGAAATGATGAGCCAATCCCCATTCAGTCAATATCTATCAGTACGGTACATCTTCTTGCCACTAGTTTTTGCCAGGGAGAAATATATTATTGTTTGGGGGTTGGACTTTGAGAAACTTGAGGATGAACTGAGAGGCCGATTGAGAGCAACAAAATTCGATGCAAAGGATATCCAGTCAATCCTTTGGGTTCCATACAAGGACATCCAATGAGCAGAAAAAATCACCATGGACTAGTGATGACCAGGAGAGATCAAAATGGGTCAGCAACTCTAGAATAACGGCTGGACAGACAGATACAAAGCGAGATGAAGGCATAAAGCAGCTATACTTCACTTACCAAGAATATCATATCACGATCGGTATGCAAGGTCGACAGATGTTCATCGGACCGACAATCTTCGCGGCGGTGAAATTGAGTTACCTGAAGTCACGCAAAAGCAGAAACACTCAGTTCATCTAGTACATGTTGCACAGAAAGATGTGTCGTACTATACCCACCAAGCCTTTCAAGTTGGGAACTGATTGGTCTTTGGTTGTATGGCCTAACTCAGGTCCGTATCAATAAGAAGAGTGATATATGAGGTCGCGCGAAGGTGGAAGGCGGGGGTCATTGATCAAAACCGAATCAAATCCAAGCAGCCACCGAGACTGATGAACGAAATTGGATAAGAAGGGAAACGAGGGAATGGATATGATAGTAGTATAGAGAAAAGAAAGTAAAACAAAGAAGAGATAATAAAAAAACAAGTCAAAGAGCGGAACAATGTGAAAAGTGATCTGAGACTTGTTGTCAAAAGGGAAATGACTTGATTTGAGTGAAGGTTTTCATGACTTGGTTTTCCAAAAGTCGAACCTCGGGTCTCGTGGGCTTGCTTGCGACAGAGCTTTGGTATCAGAAGCTCATGAACAATCTACATCACTGAGCGGTCCAAGATGAAAATTATATGTGAAGTACCTGGTGAAATCATAATGGGCACATTCAGTTTATGTTGTGGTCAATTTATGTTCTGATGAGGTATCAAGATACCTCGAGAATTTGTGTTTTCAAATTATGACCCAAGTACATCAGCTCTACATATATTTTACAAAAATTCAAAATCCACATCACAATTACAAAACAGATTTGTCACTGGTAGGTAAAGTCCCATGTTTCTCAAATGTGATTACTGGGGGTGTTTTGAACACATATTTGCCCTTAAAGTTTGCACCGTAGTGTATGTAACCTCATGGGCCTCATGGTCATGGACAAGCTTGTAAAGAGTCGGGAAAGAGAAGGAAAAAGGTTTCAAATTTTAGCGTGTGAAGCGGAATTGGGAATAAATAGTTTTTTCGTAGTCTGAGGGAATTTTGCCCAAGAAGGCTTTGGCAAAACTCAGCCTCCCGAAATCTGAAAGGGGATTTGTTTAAGCCAAGGTTTTCAGTACATAAACCGGTCAACAAACTCCCGTCCAATCTTTTCTTCTTTCGATTGTAGTTTCTGATAATGGGAAAGATACCAAACTAATGTTACATTACTTAAAGATCAGCTTAGAGTTACATTATCAACACAAACACACACACACACGTATGATGAAATCTGAATGAATCTCTTCTCTTCTACAATTCCTTAAGACTTGAGATCTAATTTGAATTTGATAACTCTGAATGAAATAAGTTACAAAATAACAAAAGCTGGATGATGGGTTTTATGCTTTTCCTTTACCTATGAAAATCAACAAGATAAAATAAGTAGAAGAATCAAAACAGAACCAAAAAAACTGATCAGTATGATTTCAAGAGTCGATGATGAAAGTGAATGTGAAAATACCTTTTGAATTGATAGGTTCAGCTTCATAAGCATTAACGGCCGTAGGAGGAGACGATCGAACCGACGATCTATGTTCGGCGGAATGTGAATGGCTTGGATTGTTAGGAATCGATTTGTTGGAAGGATGAGGTTGAGAATTAGAAGAATGTTGACAACAATCTGAATCTGATGAATTATCTGATTCATCAGATGATTCATCAAAAGCTCTTGGTTTTTTATAAATACAACAAACTAAGGAAACCAAAGATCAGTTGAGAGATTGATTAGGAATATGATTTTGGTTTTTCAATATACCTTTTGATTTCTTTCTACCTAGTCCTTCATTATCGATGACATTTTCACTCCATTGAACTCTAGTTTGACGAACTTGACTTGGATTGTTGATTAATGGATGAGCTCTGAGGATCAAAACTGAAGATTGAGGTTGAGATTGATGATTTGAATGAGTAGTTGATGGGTCATCTGATGAAGTGATGGTGATGGTTCTAGATCCATGGTTTTGAGTTTGATTGATTGAAGTAGGTGAATCTAGTTGAGTTCTGATGGATGATGACTTGAGCTCAGTTGTTTGATTTGATTTGAATAGTTTTAGAATTCACTTACGAAGTGTTCATGATGATGATGTTGGATGAGAATGAATGAGATTATTTTTACTTCAAGGTGATGATGACTGATTGAATTTCATTTTCTTGGTCTTTGTACTGAACCCATTCAACTTTTCACTGAGTTCTTGACACTGCGAATATAATGTATTTTTCCGAGGTGAAAAATGATTACATTTATTTCACAAAATGATTAAAAATGCATTAATTCTGCATTAATTCTGCATTTTTCTGCATTAATTCTGCATTATTAATCATTTTGTGCATTAATGTCAATCATTTTTCACCTGGGAAAAATACATTATTTTTGCAGTGTGATCAGTGACTGTCTTCAATCAAACTACATTTTATCATAACTCATTTCTTCTCAACTACATTTCTCTTCTCTTCTCTTCTCTTCTCAAACTCATTCACTTCACTCAGCTTGAACATTCTCGATTTCACAGAACTTGGATGGGCCATGGCTCAGCATTGGATATGTATGCTGCTTTTTGTAACATTTTTAAGATCTTCAGTCTTCATTTGTTTATCTCATGCATCACAAACTCCAATCATGCAAACATATGCAAATATGCTGATCAGCAGTTCTGATAATCCATGAAGTTATATGAGAATATAAGTAATCAAACTGCAAGTTCATCATCAACCATCCAATCGATCCTATCGCTCAATTTCAATGTACCCATCAATCTGATCGAATCACGATCTCTTCAAACCTCTCTTCACGATTCCTTTGGTCTACAAATAGAAACTCATTAAAAAGCCTTGGATGAGACCAATTCCAAACCAAGTACAAACTCTCAAACAAAACCAAAAGATCTGTAAAAAGAGCTGTCAAACTGATCAATTCCCAATTCTCTCATGCTGCGTTTCTCTTTCAACCTAATCCTCATTAAGAAATCCTGATCACCCATCATGTTATTTAACTTTCAATTCAACTTCCATACATACAGACATACATTATACATTAGTTCTTTTTTTCTATCTTCTCTTTATTTACATAAATCACTTCAGACCCACGCTGAAGTCTTTCATCTACCCAACTTAAATAGACTATCATAATCCACCCCACCCAAGTTTGTTTCAGTCTTTCCTGCTGCGCTGCAATTCCTAGACGATTGTTTCATATACTTTTAACGAGCCGCAAAGTCATCGAACCTCAACTTTGATCAAATTTACTTTATCATGATGATCAACTTGAAGTGTTTATACGTTGTGATTTTGGTTTTCAAAACTATTGATGCTTCAATCGATCCTGCTTCGTATTTTCCTGATCAACAAACCCTAGGTTACGCAGGTCCAACTGAAAGTAAGTCACCAACCCTCTTTGCCATCCATCATGATACTTCTGTTGACTCAATTTTGGGTTGGTTTTGATAATCATTAGTTGGTGCAGAACCTTCCTTGATTAAAAGTCCATTCCAACCAATCTTACAATCACATTTTCCAATCTTGAATCAAAACCCAACCGATTCAAATGCTACCAAGATTGGATCTTCAGCTTCTTCATCAGTAGTAGATGATGTGAATCGATTACCTAGGATATATAGATGGGGAAACCTTTCTCCAATGTATTCGTTACCCACCAAAACCTTTTCGAATCAAATCGATTCGGGTCCTGAGATTCCTTGCGGTTGTGAACTTGAACAAGTAAGTTGATCGAGTAATCTTTTTGGAAAAACGCTTTGAGGTTTCTCCAAAGGATTTTTTTGATTTGTGTTTGATTTTTCTTTTGACTACATAGGTTCATCTGGTTCATCGTCATGGTGGTCGTTATCCAACGACTGGAAGTGCTTTACCTAGCTTTGGAAAACGAATCAAAGAAGCTCAAGTGAATATTCTTCAAGTTGATATTTTTCAATTCATTGTGATGATCACAATTCACTGATCCAGTTTCCTTCAATAGGATAGTCGAAAGCTCAAAGCTAAAGGAGTACTTGATTTCCTCAATACATGGTCATACGAAGTAAGTGACCTACGCCGAACTTGTGATCAATTAACGTTGCAAGTAAACTCATCAAGATCTGTTTTCTTAACAGCTCGGTACAGAAGTTCTTACACCCTTTGGTCGATCACAAATGTTCGATCTAGGAATCTCATATCGACAAAAATACGGATACCTATTAAACAAAATGAAAGACCGAATCCCCGTGTTTCGCACAACCACTCAAGACCGAATGTATCATTCTGCTCTAAACTTTTTTGCTGGATTCTTTGGAATCCCATATGAGAAATCTTATCATCAATCTATCATCATCGAATCTCAAAACTTTAATAATTCATTGGCTCCTTATTATCAATGTCCTAATTCTCATCATCCTGGAGTTGGAAACCTTGGTTCTGTGGTTTCTGAGCAATGGGTTGAAAGTTATTTGAAAAATGCTACTCATAGGTTTAATGAACTTATTGAAGGTTATCAATTCACTCCATCAGATCTGTGAGTATCCTTTCGAAAGAATTAGAACATTCTCTTTTCTTTGATACTAATCTTGAATTGATCTTTCGGTTCAAGTCATACGATGCAACAAGTTTGTAGTTATGAAACCATCGCATTGGGCACCAGTGAATTTTGTTCTTTATTCACTGATCAAGAATGGCTAGATTATTCCTACAGTATAGATCTGGGTAAATCCAATCTACATTTTCAATTCAAATCTTCAACTCTTCTCTAACTCAAATCATTTGGATCTCTTTGACTAGAGTTTTGGTACTCTAATAGTTTTGGTAATCCGACTTCTGCAGCTTTGGGACTAGGTTACACTCAAGAATTAGTCCGTTTCTCATTTGATTCCAATCTTTTTTCATTTGATTCTGTTTGACTGATCTTATTTTGGTTTTAGCTTGCTAGACTTACTGGTCGAGTTGATCCTAATCCATCAAGTTCGATCAATACCACCCTCTTTAACAACCCTGTGACTTTCCCACTAAACCAATCAATCTATGTAGACGCAACTCACGATACGTAAGCTTTAAATGATTTCATTCTTGCCTTTGCTCTCAATGCTGGTTTCTGATCTTGGTGCTTTTTCATTAGTGTGATCTCAACAATCGTGGTAGCCTTGAATCTTACAAGTCTGGCTGCAAGCGGTCCACTTCCTACCAACAGAAGAGACCCGAAGCGAAGTTTTAGAGTAGAACAAATTGCTCCGTTAGTTTTCTTTCAAATCCTTTCAAACACAAGTCTCACTATCATTTTTATTCTTTAGACTTAAATGTTTGATGGTTTTTTTTACTTTTAGATTCGGTGCTCAGATGGCTACTCAAATTATGACTTGTCAATTACAACCGAATTCAACCCAACAAAAATACGCAAGGTAAATTCAATAAACTGATCCTCTATTCCACACATCTTTTTGATCATTGAACTAATTAAATTTCGATTTTTTTTTGTTTTAGAATCGTTTTAAATGATGCAGTGATCCCATTAAACGGTTTATCGAAATGTAAATCATCAAACTTAGGTTTATGTGAATTGGATTTGTTTATTGAAAGTTTACAAAAAAGAGTTCAAGAGATTGATTATCCTCAATCATGTTTTAATAACTTTACAAAACCGGTTCCTATTAATTCATTGGGTTTAACTAATGGTCGTTGGATTTGAAATTGAATGTATATATCTTGAATCATGAGTTTCTTTTTTTTCAAAACCTTTTCGCACTTTTAATTTCGGTTGTGTATTTTCTTTTATTTGTTGCTTTGATTTGATCTTCTTCTTGTTTGATACTTTTATAACAACTTGAAAAGATTCCAAAATATACTTTGTAGGTAATTATCTTTTAAATATCTTCTTCACTCATCAATACGTGTCCCAGTGAACTTGCATGGGTTAGAGAATGGGGTTTTAGCAGCTCTTTTGTAAGTCTAACAATTAATACAACCAACTTTTGCCAATTCTCATGCTTGTGATTGCTTCACAACACAATGTCACTTTTCATTTATCTTTCAAACTGACACTGGGAATTGATGGGTTTGAAACCTGATTGAAGAAGGTCTGCAACTTTCTTGAATTGTGAGGTTTGTTTGCAATACACTCACAACACGTCACTGGAGACCCTCAAGATACTTGGGTACAGCTGTTTCATCACATGGATGCACAAAGGGCCAAATGTTTGTAGCACTACCTGCATAAAGTAATGTTGCATTCAATCAGCATTATTCTGCATTCAACCAGCATTTTTGATGCCTAATTGCTTCAGTGCTGAACTGCACACTCTAATCAAAATGATCAGAGCTGACTCAGTTGAGGGTTTATCATCCCACTCTTGCTGGGGGCAATTCAAGTGCTTATGAAGATTTAGAGGCTGAAGCAGATTTTCTTGCTTAGCCTTAGAAGGATCAAGTGTTGAAAAGAATCCTTTGGCTTCACAGAGGCCAAAAAATTGATGGTCACATACAGTGCATTTCCTTTACAAACAAATTGGAAGTATTGGAAGTTTTACAAGCGGTATTGAACACCACACAGCCATCAAGTCTAAGAAAGTGAGATGCTCACCACATAAACAAAAGATTATTCCCCCCTCAATACATATCACATCAGATGTTTTGCAAGTGTATTTGGCTCCATTTAGAGCACCCACTATGGTTGTGTTAACAACCTGATTTAGTGTTACTGTAACACTAAAATACACACAGGTCCACTATGGACCTGTTTTAGACCTGCGGTCCGCACGGCTGTGTTAAATGCTGCAACCCACATGTTCAGATCTACGCAAGCCTACGACTTGATTTATTGTAGGATAATCGGTCAACAACTACATTTTTCAAAACCTCAAACTTCAAAACTCCACAAATCAAGACTTAAGATCTCAAAGTTCAAACCCAAACTTCAAAGTTTGAACTTTACATCTGCCTTTTGAACCCAGAATCAATCATGAATATGTAAATCTTCAATCATTTTTAAACAAAGTCGTATACTTGTTCAAAATTCAGATTTAAACTTCAATTCATATCTAGCGTTTGGGGTGAAATGGTCATCATGCAATTGCTGAGCAACTTGAGCGTGGTCTTGATCTTTTTGGATGTGAGCATGAGGAGGTGGAGGAGGTGTGTGAGGTTTATCAAACAGGAAGTCAAAGACCATTTGGTCATAATCCTGCTGTTCATCATTGTCATTTGAAGACTTCAAAAGGGCATTGATTGGGTTTTTAAGGAACTCGGAGCAAGCATTTCATGGATGTCTTTTGGATGAAGGTTATGAGAATTAAGATATTTCATTTCAAAATCATGGATCAGGTTGATTCACAGTGATTTATTGTTGGTAAATCATATGTTACATCAGCCCATAGTGAATTTCATGCGCTTACCAACTTTGGTAAAACAAGCATGATTAATTTTTGCGCTCAGGAACACAAGATCTACAATAAATCACCCTCATGATAGTGGGTGCTCTTAGGTTGACTGCATTCAGACTGACAAGCAATTTTTCCAATACCTAATATACAGGTTCATATCAGCAATATTTCAAACTCATTATATGCTACAAGGATGAACTCACCTGATCATCTCCAAGCAAGTCTAATAGGTTCATGCACAATACTAGAGGTCAATAGCTCGGATCATACATGTGGTATACTAGTTCTGGAACCTGACTCTTTCCAAAGCTGGTTCCTGCTAGTAAGAGCATAGTTTTGTTGTTGATAATGTTGATGGCACTTTCAATCTGCTGGGGCCAGGCAGGGTAACTGTACTGTTCCTTAAAAAACTGACGGCTGTCTGTGCTTGAGTGTTCGTGTTGGTATTTAGATACAGATTTTTCAAAACCTGACATTGCAATAGAAGGTTTACTGGATGTGTGGGAAAGAGTGGCTCCTGCAAGGTGGAGCTTTGGCTTCTTGTGAGCATAATGAAAACTTGGTCCAAAGGTTAATTTGATGGAGCTTGAAATCGAATGGATTCACAGGTGGGTGTTGATCTTTGACAGTTAAGTTTGCCTTTGAAAAGGATCAGGCTGTGTATGTTGCACCACTCACCACTCACAAACCACCACACATGATATGTGCAGTTTGCTCAGGTAAGGTTTAAGGTTTTGTTGCACAATTCCTTTTTTGGGATCCACAGTCATAATCCAGACATGTACGCCGGTGTATCAGCCATAATGGAACTGGGTCCATAGCACGAGGATTACTCATGCTATGGCAAAGCCAAGACTAGGAGATACTAGTCATGGTCAAGGCACATCTTTTTCATTCTTGGGCTGGCGGGAGTTAAAATGTAACCAAAAAGTTTCATAATGAAGCCCTTTTTTTGAGAAAAGGACCAAGCAAACTCATGCCAAGATTTTGAGATAAGTCGTAACTTGTAAGTCCCTTGCTGAAAGTTGTGGCTGTATTGGCAAGGGGCTTAGTTAAGTTTGGAAATTGCACCTGGACTCTAGTATATGTCTTACTTTCTTAGTACTTTAGAGCATCCACAGCCGTGCGGTAAATTTGTAATGTATGGAGGGTTGCCCAGATTGTTTAGGGCAGTGTTTGAGGTATAAATTTTGAACAATGTACAGCCATGTGTAAGGTGGAGTGTATTCTCCACCTTCACTGATTCAGACAGGAAAGGCATGGCTCAGCAAGAGCTGGGTTTTTATCTAAAACCCCTTGTTCAACTATACTAATCCAGCGCTTGAAAATCAGAAACCAGCAAACCAAAGAAACAAATAGAAGAGAGATGATAAGAATAGAACTACAAAGGAAAAAGGGAAAGGAACCAATGGAGGATGAGAATCTAATCTAACTACACCACAGGGGCATCCTGGGCCGGAAAGTGAGCTGTGAGAGGTTGAGTCGGATCCTGGCCTCACAACAACCAGCGGGTCACATCGGAAGGGCCCCCGGCCAGTTGTGGTGGTAGTCTTCGCTGCAAGCATGGATCCACCATTTGGCAATCTACCTTTGATCTGGTGGCTGCTCCAGGTCTGCCTGCAGGCTGCAGCCGTCTGCAGCCACACATTTGTCTTCCGCTGGCCTGGAGGTAACCACTGTAAGGCCCCTTGGCGGTATCTTTGATTCTCAGAGCACCACAACACTCACTCACCTCACACGAACGACCTGCGATCTCCCCTCAGACCAAAGTCACACACATCCACCAACTGAGCTCACCATGACTTACATTGGAAAGATACATGATCGCTGTTTGTCCCCCAGTCCTTCCTCCCTTTCTTTATCTTGCCGCTGTGCTCTCATGTCTGACATTTCCCTATGTCCGTTATAGATTTTGAATCTCTGTCAGACGACCTCTCTTCCCCGCTCTTCAAGTGTTTGGTTTGTGGGAAGCATCCCATGATGTGGTACGCTTCTCATATGCTAACCAAGAGCCATCTTGAAAAAGCAGCCTGCTTTGAAGCTCTCAACGCCGGACAAAACAAAATCATGCCTGGTCTTGACAATCAGATTGCCACACCAAACAATGATCCACAACGACTTGAAGACACCTTCATGGAAATGGAGAATGCAGCCCCTTGCTCAGATACCCCCGAACGCCCCCCATCCCCCCTGTCAATCATCCGAGCCATTGAATTCTTGAGTGCGGAGAAAGACAAAGCCAGCGACTCAGATCATGATTCCGACCTTGAGATTGATTCCAACACGCTTGCTGAAGCCATCAGGGCAATGGAACTCAATGTGTGGGATGAGGAAGCCGAAGAAGCGACCAATGATGCAGCACTGGAGGCAGACTTGTGTGAGTCTCATATCCAGGAGGCCAACAATTGGTATCCGTTCCAAAAGAAGGAGGTGAGTTCTAATTTAAATTATCTATCATCACCTCCCACGTTTACTCACACAATACATTGCTCCATTTTGTCTTTCAGCATGTTGTTGCATTATTGATTGTCGATTCCACAAGGAACATTCTCTTGCGATCTCAATACCATTGAATTCGATCAATTTTGCAAATTTGTGAAGTCCGACTTCCAGAATGGGGTGCTTTGCGTGCGTTAAGCAAACGTGTAAAGAAACTGCTTGGGCTTTCCGTTTCTGAACGCACTAGTCCATTGGGGAATGCCTCTCTTGGGGTAAAAGTCAAGACAATCATATCAAACGTGAGTTAGTTGTTCAAATTTCATTTTTACAAAAGAACATGCAAACATGAGCTGATCCTGTCATTTTGCAATTATTTAGGAGCTAGCCAATGCTTTGATCAGCCCACATTTGATCGTTGGCCCAGAGAAACCTAGCAACCCTAACGACCTGATCAACCGGCTATCCCAGTCTCAGAAGTGGCAAGAGGGATTTGATAAAGATCTCAGAGTACAAATGGTTGTCACCAACCATCAGCACTATTACATATACAAACCAGTTCAAATTTTCTCCAATGACATTGTTGTTCCCGCTTTTTTTTTCAACAAGGAGGTATCCTTCAGGCCAAATGCCTTCCGGCAACCGTCACCCCAGACCCAATCCACAGTAACATGTACCAAATTGCAATCGCCCCGGAGCCACCTTTTGATTCCAATGATTTTTGGACCATTCCTCTCACCAAATTTTGGAGAACTACTCAGGAAATTGAGTGGAATGACAATGAAGGATGTTTCCTCAAAGATGTTTGCGGCCAACTTATACATCGTATGTGCTATTTAACTATTGTCTCATTGAAAAACATTTCACACTCTGACAAACCCTTGTTTTCAAAATACTTCCAGAGAAGATTCACAGCCCCCAATCACAAGTCACTGGCAGGCCAGTGCCTCCCACCGACCCTAGCAAGTTATGAGAAAGTTATGAAATGGATATCAAATGGATAACATCCATTGATTGAGAATTTGTTGAGAAGTGGTTAGGAGACCACCAAAATTGAGATGATGTCATACAGCATCATAAACCTGTACAAACCTGCTCCTGTATTTCCCCACCAAGAATATATAGTTTATTAACCTTTGTGACATAAATTGACTGAGTTATTGAGGTTTGAAAAAAAAATCACGGACAAAAAATACTATTTTTGTACTATACCTAAGAATTGATTCTGGAATATCTTCCAGCTTCATCAATATACATACACAAAAAAATTGATATTCCTTTTGAGAACATGTTTCTCCACATTTTTGTCCCCTAAAGCCTTCCTGTCTGGGCAGTATTTCTACATGTAATTCTTGAATGTGTCTGCAAGTTTGATTTTCTGAAGTTCTTTGCCCCAATAAAAAATTTGAGGCAACATGTTGCCAAAATCATTCTGAATTTGATTGATATACATGTAGATGGTATTTGATAAAAATTTCTGCCATAAACTTTGCCATATTCTGCCTAGAAACAAAGAATCAATCAAATTGTTGACTGCTCATGTACACACCACAATTACATATAGAAATACTGGCCACACAGGAAGGCTTTAGGGGACAAAAATGTGGAGAAACATGTTTTCAAAAGGAATATCAATTTTTTTGTGTATGTATATTGATGAAGCTGGAAGATATTCCAGAATCAATTCTTAGGTATAGTACAAAAATAGTATTTTTTGTCCGTGATTTTTTTTTGAAACCTCAATAACTCAGTCAATTTATGTCACAAAGGTTAATAAACTATATATTCTTGGTGGGGAAATACAGAAGCAGGTTTGTACAGGTTTATGATGCTGCATGACATCATCTCAATTTTGGTGGTATGACATATTTTGCTGGTAACTGACCCAAAACATCTTGATAGCAGATGGATGTTATGCTGAAAACAAATTGAAGTTTTGTTGAAAACATTTTGGAGACATCGGATGTACTGGCCTGCCAGTGACCAGTGGTTGGGGGCTGTGATTGCTTCAGGTGGATACAAGCATGTCCCAATGGAAAACCCCTGGCGCGCAAGAGCACAAGGCCGAATTATAAAGCATGTACCAATCACACTGTACTCCAATGATATGTCAGGAAACGTTTCCAAAAAATGGAACAAACACATGAGTGGCTTTTTACGTTATCAGGCCTACCTCCGAAGATGACAAACAAGGAGTACAACATACACACTGCCAGCATTAAAGAGGTTCCCAGGTGGGAAAGTGACCTAGGCTGGGAACATGATTGAGAGTAAAATGGTCATGAAATCATCTTGCACTGCACAACTGAGCCTTGAAGCATATGCTACATATGTGCAAACATCTGTGTAAATCCTTAGCTATCAGCTACATACACATCAGCTCAGTTATCTGTTCATCTGGATAGGAAAATTACATGTAATATATGTTGTAATTTTGCTCAGATTGTGACAAGCATTTTGAAAAATTGACTACATATATCACAATGACTACTCAGGCAATATTCCTTAGGCTGTGTAACAGTAACAGAAGGGGAATCTGGTCCCTGGGACCCAGATTCCCATCCGGGAACCTCTTTAATGCTGGCAGTGACACTTTTTGGCAACTTCAAACTGTGCCTCCGCCCTCAATTTGATGGATGATATAGTAGATGAAATTAAGTAAGTCTAGGTGTCTTAAAGTTGCTCTTTATTGTAATATTCTGCCCAAAATTTGTTCACACGAGTTTTTATTTCATCGTTTTGTTACACTGCAAAGATAATGTATTTCTCCAAGGTGAAAAATGATTACATATAATGCACAAAATGATTAATAATGCAGAATTAATGCAGAAAAATGCAGAAAAATGCAGAAAAATGCAGAATTAATGCAGAATTAATGCAATTTTAATCATTTTGTACATTAAATGTAATCATTTTTCACCTTGGAGAAATACATTGTCTTTGCAGTGTTAGTGACAGCAGCGCCAATGGTTTTTTGGCTTATGATCACGCGACAAGAAATGAAGTGCTAGTCATGGCTGTAGTTTTATGCCACCTTGGAGATGGGCTGATGCACGTGGAAATAAGCAATACCACCAATCCTTCCGTGACTTTAACACCATGCCGCATGTGCCCTTTACGTGTTGAGCGGCTGATTGAAAAGAAGACGGCAGCATATGTGTCTGCATTTATCGGAATAAATGGCGACAGCGAGCAGGTAATTAGATAGGAATTTACTCTTCCTTGTTTACAATTTACAACCATAACTGACCAATTACACGTAGGCACTTGCACCCAAACGGAATTGGGACATGACACGCAATAGGACTTGGGAAATTTGGGCATTAGCGCAATTGCCAAATACACGAGGCGCTGTCAAAGATAAGGAACACTCGTATGGACTACGGGATTCCATACTGGACTATTTCAAGAAGAAAGTCCAGTGTGCTTACGATTTGCATGCTAGACGCGAAGTTGAGCAGTTGTGCGAGGACCTGAACGCTCAATTGGGCGAGCACTTGTTCAACCCAATGTTGCAACTAAGAGGTATTTTTTTCTAATCCAAACAATTAGAAATCAAGATGTTGCTGATTACGAATTGATCATGGCTAGGCTTCAATGGTCATACAGATACACCCATGGAAACCTTGCATGTGATCCTTCTTGGAATTGCAAAGTACTTGTTTTGAGACACCATGAAGTCCATTGGTGTTGTGAAACCCGGCAGAAAGCTCCACCTTGAGCTGACAGGAAGATGGTGAGCTTTTAATGCCAAAGGTCTTAATATCGCCCCCATCCAGCCCAACACGTTGATTCAATTCTACCAAAGCTTGGTAGGCAAGGATTTCCAGGCCATCACACACTCAATTCCATTTGTGTTGTTTGATTTGATTCCAACGGGTAGACGCCACCTATGGAGCTCCCTGTGTTTGCTCAGCTCCTATGTATTTCAAAATGAGATTACCCGTCAAGAAGAATACCTGCGGGAATTGGAGATGGCAATTACAATTTTTCTCAATGAACTGATTAAGGATTTGGCACAATGGGTCAATAAACCCAAGTTTCATATGCTTACTCATATAAAAGATTCCATCAAGTCTTTTGGTCCAACGCATTTATACATGACCCAGAAATTTGAGTCATTCAATGGAGTATTACAAGCAGCTTCAGTTCATTCAAACCGTCTCAGTCCAGGCCGCGACATTGCCGAAACCTTCAACAATTATCAAATGTTGAGAATTCTTGTTTCCAGAACCTCGTTTGTTGACAGAGAGTTTCAAGGTTGGTGTACTGCCGGGCCAAGCGTAAAAGCGCTTTTGAAAACGGTGCCGGAATTATCTCAAGCTTTGGGACTTGACCCAAAACCGGACCAAGCAACCGAGTTCATAACAGGATGTAAGATTTTTTTTCATCTTGACCTATGATATAATCTTGGAAATGCAAAACATTTCATTGACCGCTTCTGTTTGCAGCGCGGGTTACAGACCTAACAGAAATTCCCCTTTTCTTGACCACCAAACGGCCGGACGCATCATGGCACAAAATTCTCAGTGTGACCTTGCTGAACGGGCAGAAGCTCAAAGTCGCGGATTTTGTGAAGGTAAGTCTTTTGAGCTTTTGTACCATTATCTGGACTGACCCCTTCCCTGATCTAGGGCTGGAACAGTTTGGAGTTGGCTCAAGTGCCGCCATTTGGCATCCAGACACTGAAAGTGGTTTGAAGACAATGGTATTTCTTCAAAAAACTTGCAGAGGTGATGTTAACCCTTATTACGGTATGCGGGAAATCATCCGGCTTGATGAGTGGAGATGGGTCAATATTGCGGTGAGCCATTCTTCTAAACCTTGACCCACTTCTTTTTAAACTCATGTATTTACTTCCCTTGCAGGGTATTCATTGCGTACTAAATGTACAACATAATTGTCACGACATGTCATGTCGTGTCACTCTGGGAAGAAACAAGCAGATCGAGAGGAGGGAAACAACAATCAAGATCGGCAATGTTTCTCACAAACCCACCAACAACTTCATTCTGAACACCGCCAGCCATTACTCTGCCCAAGTTCACCGTGACGTTGCTGCAATAAATCTTTGCAACATGACACCGGAGGAACTTTTGGAATCAGTCCTTCAAGGTATCAAAGTATGGGAATCTGTACTGGCCAAACAACGTAAGATGAAGAGAGCAAAAGCGCAAGGAAAGGGAAAAGCAAAAGGAAAAGGAAAAGGAAAAGGAAAAGCTACTGTGCGAGAAGAGGGTGATGCTTCATCATCATCAGGAGAAGAAGACAATGATGAACTTGATAAAATGGAGATGGTGGATAAACTTGAAGAAGTGGATGAGCTGGATTGAAAGTGTCTCAAACCTTTTCTTTCTTTGGTCTTGAGAAAGGCGGAAATGCAGAAAGTCAAGATTTTCAACCCAAGTTTTTTTGTTTTAAGATCGTGGTGAACAAGGCCACCCCAATCACAACGTTCCAAGTGAGCAGTGATCAAGCGAGTCATCACACGCTCTTTTGAAGACGAGTTCTGATTGGTCAGAAGATGGACCCACCAGTCAGACACAAGAAAACATGCGCTGCATGATCCCCCTGAGTCAAGCCCCTGGATTCAGCTGCGCGACTCAAAGGACTCGAAAGCTCTTTCCTTGCCTGTGTGTTTCTTGCCCTCTTCCCTTCAGAAAAGTTTTTTGTCACAGCTTTTGCCAAAACAACACTTTCATTCGAAATCATTTTCTTTCAACTTTCTCAAAGTATTTGATTTGTTGGACTCTCTCGATAACCCAAACCAGTTCAATCCAAAAAAATGGCTTCTCAAAATGTGCGTTACCATCCTTACAGCCAATCAACTCTGTCACTCAGTAAGAAGTCTTTTCCCACACATTTTCCAAAAGTTTATGTTGACCTTATCCTTCTTTTAGATAACCTGCTTCAACAAACCAACAGGTTTTTGCAAGGCTTGAACAGTCACCAAAGTCACTTTATGATAGTACATTCCTTTTTGTTGATCATTTGTTAATTTTGCTTCTTCATCAGGTGGTGATAGCTCCCCTGACGTCTTCAATGATACCATGGGAGGCGGCACATCCTCTTTGTTTTGTCGCAAACCGGCACACAACAAGGTGAGTTGATTCAGTTAGTTTGTTTGAACATTTCCACTGACCTTTCATCAATAAATTGATCCAGACAAATCCAATCCTTGAAAGGATCCTGCAAGAGCTGGGAAACTTGTCCAACAAGTCCTCCCAATTTGAGACAATGTCAGGCCAGATTGATCAGGTGGCAGAGGCTACGTCAACCTTGTCAAACAAGATCAATGCCTTGTCAATCAAGATGGAGAAGGTTATCGAGACGGTTGCCTCTTTATCCTCTGCCCAGCAAGTCTTGACCTTGCCCAACAAGGTCGATCATCTTGCTGCGACAGTGGCCCAGCTGTCCTCTGCCTCTGCGCAAGGGACCACCTCTCCTGGTCTTGGGGCCAACCCAGTGGCCACCACCAACCAAGTTGCTCCTTGGGCGGTCTTGACCGCTTTAAAGGTGGGTGTTTTTGATTGATCAAATCAAAAATTATGTCCTTGATGTCAGAATTTTTGATTTGAGTCATTAGAAATTATTCTAACAACACTTTATCCAACCTCTCCTTGTTGGTTCTCTCCATAGGAGCGAGTTTATCAGTTGGCCTATGCACTGGTTCCCGAAGCTACTCTTGACACTTACACTGCTATTCAGTTAGAAGGGAATGTCCTCCAAAGATTGCTTTTTCATACCATCGAGGTTTGGGTGTTTTTGAGTTCAACACCCATTCTCAACACCCATTTTGATATCTTACTAATGTTCTCGTCCGCCCCTCAGCAAAGAGTTCAGGCCATTGGTGGCCAATGGGTGGTTAAGCACCTCCCACCTACCATCAACGGGTTCCAGGATGTGCCAGCGGGGAAGCTTTACAATAAGTTGGTTAACTGGCAAGCATGTGCGAGAGAAGATGCATCTTCTGGTACGTAATGGGATTTGCTCACTGTTTTTTATCATTTGATTCTTGTAACTTATCTTATGGTGCTGAGCAGGTTCTAACCCATATTTGAAACCCACGAGATCCGAGCCCAATCACAGTCACTGTCCCAAATATCAAAAAGCTGGTCCATCGTGTAAATCTGCCTCTCTCTCTCTACACATTGTTGAACAAGGAAATTGACGGTCGTGTTTGTCCATTCCTAGATCACCAGTGTCTGCAACACTAACCCCAATGACCTGGATGTGGAGGCCTTGTCCTTGTGGAACCGATTGAGTTGGGCCCATTGCCTTTGTGTGGCATATCTGGTCAGTTGCACCTTGCTTTCTCACTCTTCTATCTACTTTGCATATACTAAATCAATTACCTCCTTAGTTCTGGTTTCACAGTGTCGCAAAGCCATGTGAGTTGTACGGGATGGCGGCAATATCTGGACACATGTTGACCAACAACTGGCCAGAATGCGTGAGCGTGGGCCACTTTACACTACAGCGTAAGTCTGCTTTTGATCATGTTGACTTTTCCTGGATTACCGACTGGACTGACGCTTTTTTGGGTCATTGTTTGTTTGGACCAATCTGTTGGGATAGTCCTGCATGACTTTTAATTCTTTATGTAAAAGTCCTGTGAGACTAACCCATGATACGTAGAATCTAAGTGTGTGCTCAACAAACATATTACATCATGTGAAAACCGTTATGTAAAAGTTTCACTATATAAATCCTACTGGAGCAGTCAAGGAAAGGTGCTTCTTCTTCACCTTTCCTTTGTCTCTTTCTCTGACTGTTCCAGGTAGGATTTCTCTCTGTTTTCTGTTTCTCTGTTTTTTGTCTGATTTAGTCCGTGAAATTTACACACCTTTCCTTTGTCTCTTTCTCTGACTGTTCCAGAGCTCAAGACAATCAGCTTTTATAAACTTGTTTATGATCAAGATTGTGCTATGCTTGAAGGAAACGTTTGTTTCACGGATATCCTGGCACATGTGAATTTTGCATTGCCAAGCAACAAGGAGGTTGAGGTGGAAATGAACACCATGGACACCCAACCAACTGCTGAGGGATGAAACACACGTGTTGTGTTTATCATTTCAAGTGTATGGGGATACTTCATGTGTTTCTTTGCGATATAGCCTGTAGTTACATTTTTTCTTTCTTTCTTACCTCATTCAACCCCCTGCTGGAATTCAACCTTGAAGAAACAAGGCTTTATGTGTCATATTTTGTATTATCAAGAGCCCCATTGATGATTGCATGCCGTGCCTGAGGTCTACCTGCCTGCCTGGGCTCCATTCGGCTCCAGCAGTAACCCTGATCAACCGCCGCACGGCAGCCGTTGAACCTTGTAGGCCGCCTGCCGTCAACATTTCCAGCGTCAGACACTTGGAAAGTGGGTGCCCTGTAGGCCGCCAATGGGCGTATATTTTGCGCCGCCCGGGCGCCCCCTCACTGACCAGCGCGGGGCGGTCCATCACTGCGTACAGAAAGGCCGCCCTGCGACAGCCCGCCCGGCCCGCCTGCAGGCAATCAGGCCCCCCGTGTGGTGTATTCTAGATGACTTGTATAATCTCATACTGTATACCTCCTGTAATTATGCTAACCCATCCGCTACTGTATTACTCCTTCCTTACACCATGGTTCCCTACAGTATGGTTTGTAGCATAATTGGAGAGGTGTATTAAGGGTTATGTGATCATCAAGGTGTATGATGTGCAGAGAGTGCATTCACAAGTTGAAGTTTATGGGAGAAGTGAGGTACAGAAGGATTTGGGGTTCAAGCCAAAAAAGAACATATTTGGCCTATTTCAACTTGCACATAGAGAATTGCCTAAGCTAAGTATGTGTTTGGGGGTAACAGCTGTGGATAAAAATACCCCAAATCTATGTACATCACGGTTTACGGCATGCGGCTGTGGATGCTCTTAGTTTCCCTTTTCTTATCAAAGTAGTCATTATCATTTCCAACTTTTCAGAAAAGACTCCTCTGAAAGCATAGATCAGGAACACGTGGAGCATTCAAAGACTTAGACCCAGTATCCTGTGATAAGGCAAGGTATCACATTGTGGGCAATTCAATTTGAAAACACACTAAAACATAACTGTTCCTTCAGCAAGATGCTGCTTGGACTTCTTCAAAGCTTAAAATACTAATAAAAGTTGACTTTCTAGAATTTCACAGCACATGGAGGTCAAATGAATTTTAATTTTACAACATTTTTTTTAACTTGAATCCTCGTCAAACAAGCATCCGATTCCCATGAATGGTTTGGCGCGAACCTTATCAAGTGGGAGAAATGGGTAAAAGTATTTGGATACAATAAGGCAGTACGAATATGGACAACACATCGGTCTGCCATCACGCATCTGGCAGCGCAGTCCTCACAAGGTACCTGATGTTCTCACGTCTTGTGCAGATGAGCAACGAATGAGGTTCGAGGGAGTGGCAACCGCTGCGTCGGGCTACGCCGGAGCACTCGCGGTTTCAAGCACTCGCATGCTGAGACCTCCTTCAAAAGCGTTAAGGTTGGATTCGTCCACGATTTCGCATTATACATACATACCTTTGCTACCAAACGCGAAGCCTAGATTGCCCAAGCTTAAAGTGAGCTAACGTAAAAGCCTCTTCCTTTCATTATCTGTGACAACAGAGTCACAGACCGCGTATTGATTGCAAGGCTAAAAGGCTCGATACCTCAATTATCAGTGAACAGATATGGAAAAAGCTTCCTTCTTTCGCTATTTGTGGCATCGGACCACATTAGCATGACCAAGACATTCTCGATGCATAAGTCTTTAATGATTTACGTCGATACATTGATAGCTACGCTTTGAACAGAAGAGCCATAACATATAAAATCCCTTGACCATCTGGTCATTTGAATTTATAATCAACATTCCAGCGAATATACCATCGTCTCACACTTCATAGCCATCTTTGTATCTCGGTCTCAGCTTAGGTGAAGCTTATATTCGAAAATGCCTTGTAAGAATTCCGAGTGAGTAACTTTTCCACATATATCACTTGATTGATGAACTTCATCATCAGACTTAATCTTGAATCAAACTTTCTTAGGTACCTCCTCGTCGCGTGCGCTCTCCTGACCGGATCATTGGCGGTGACCGAAATTGCATTGACTACTGCCGCATCCCAACTTCTCAATGGACAAAAGACTCAAGTTGCCGCCGCACTACCGCACGGAATACTTCATGCAGACCCTATCTTTTACGCCGGAGTCGCGATAATTGTCGCCTCATCTATTGCAATCCTCCCATCAGTTAAGTGCATTAACTTTACATTGCGGGTAGGAAGAATGCTAGAGCCCTTGTCAGAATGATACTGCCTGCAAGTTATGAAATCAGTCTGAAGTTTTGAATTAGACAAGGAAAAAATACATGTTCTTCCTCATCTAATCTAGCTGAATCCAAGAATCATGATCATTTCATACAGTGCACGCATGATTCTGAAGGCGTATCTTGCATAGTTTCTTCTTCTTGCAACTCTAACGCATGTCTTTGAATATTCTTTATCTTAGATTTTAGGTAGTGTCTTTCGCCTAGCTAATCGCTGCCCGACGGGGAATTTCCGATTCTTTGGGATGGCGGCTTTTGCATATTTACCTGTCGTGATAGTTGAAACCGTGATTGGGTTGACATGGCATGCTTCCGTTACATCGGCTCTGCCTCAATTGTTGGTGAATGAGTTAGTTGCGGGAAGTGGTACAAACCTTTACTATCACGGCTCTATGGTCGAGATCGCTGTTGTTGTGAATGGCTGGGCAGTATTCACAAGCTTGGTCCTAGCGTAAGCACCTTACTTGATCTTGTACTTCATACGACATGATTGTTTGCTGAGATTGGCGCTGCGCGTATGACAGTACGATATTGGAAAGGAAGATGTTCAAGGCTACCCAACAAGAACAACAGAAGATTTCTTCGCCAGTATATTTGACTAATGAGGTGAAAGATAGCTATGAGGAAGGGATTTAGCTTATGTATGAATTGTCTGAGACTCTTGATGATTCCTTACATAGCTCATCTATATGCTCAGCCTTGGAAAAGTGTGACTGGCTTTCGGATCTGTTTGGCTCGCCTATCATATTCCAAAGCTTTTATTTATTTATTTATTCGTTCCTTTATTCATTCATTCATTTCTCTAACGGAGTTTCTCAACGCACAAACATCAGTGGCCTCGAGTTCTGCAGACAGAAACCGGATTTCTTGCCTTATGTCTCCAATTACTAATTATAACGATTTGTTACTTTGTTTTCCATTTATTGAGCTCGTATTCTGGAATCTAGAGAAGATTTCCTAGCAAATCATGACTGTTTGATCTCACACATGACCCAAAAAAGACAATAGGTATTTTAAACCCTTGAGTGAGGACAAAGTTTCCTTCATCTGACCACCAACAAGTATATAAGACGCGGAATTTCCACTGATAACAAAACTTGACCTTGATGGGAATGTCCATCACAAGCGGGTCTTCAACATCCGTCTACGGGTCAGAAACATAGGTATGCGGACCTCGTCAAGAGTTCAGATGACTCACAAAACTCCTAGAAATGTCATATCAGTGAAGCAGAGTAGATATGAACGCTCAAACCTGTTGGTTGCAAACCAAATCCGTAAATGGCTTACGGGGACCTTGGTGCGTTAATCTTTCCACATCACCATGATTCAGTGATTTCTTGACCCAGAATTGAAGAGAGAAAGGATTCGTCTTGAAACTACACAAACTTCTGCAACAAAGGAATTAAACTGAAACGTTAACTATTGTAAGAGAAAAAATTACAAACTCAAATCATGAGGTCTCAAGGTTACAATGAGACCACATTTCCCAACAAAGCAAATGTAAGCAGAGTTTGACAGCTTGAAACATTCTCTCATAATGAGGCAGACTGAAAGGGTAACGGGCCAAAACACAAGTACGGTTTTGAAAACCTATCAAAGTCCTGTAATGTATAGACCATGAACAAATCTAGTTCCTCCTTCAGAGATTACACCTTTTGCATTCTTTTGATTCTTGTAGCCTACAAAATAGAGTTCTATTCATCTCTATTCTGTTAATTTTCCTTTCTGATAAAAAAGGGAACCATTCTACTAAGACATCATTCCAGTTTGGCGTTGCATGTAACCGTTGTCGTGTGATGAAACAGCTATTGCAAACGAAGCTCGCAATTCAAGAAAGTTATGGACCCAGGGGCCAGTCGACACCACAACTTCCTTTAATCGGCTTTCAAACCCATCGATTCCCACGGTATGAGCAATGAGCACAATAAGTTCATGTACATTTCATTATCAATTTGATTTTCATCTAAGAAACAAAACTACAATTCTCATCACATAGTCGGAAGTCCTGCACCTTACAACGACATCCCATCAATCTCATTCATAACCTACCATAAAACTTAAACTCATCATCTTTTACAATGATACAATTCATAAATTCATTTTGATCATATAAACCTTTTGTCATATTATACCATAGATCTTGTTTACCCAATCATCATTTTCTTTTCTTCTTTCTTTTGTGCTAACCATGCGGTGATCCGAGTTTGTAATTCGAGATCTAAAGATTTATACAATACAATCAGTACTGAAAAAAGGTCTTTAGATTTTAAAGAAGAGGAATAAAGTAACAGACCAGGTATAACATCTTCAAGTTTCAATGGCATTCGATTAAACGGATCAGTTTGATCACTCAAAAAGTGTTGTTTGATAGTCGATCTATCAACCGTAGTCTTTGAACTTGGCAAGATCACTGGATCCTTCATCAAAGTGGCCATAACAGGATCTTGAATACAATAAAGAAAACAAAACAAAACTCCATCAGATCTCTTACTAATTCATGTTTCAGTATAAAAGATTCAAACCAAAGATCTCACCTAAAAATTCATCAGGAATTTCACCTAATTCTTCTTCAGCTTCAGCTTCAAGTTGTTTCAATTCTTCAATCTTAAGGACCAAAACTTTCAATTTTTCCAATTCTTCTATGCTTTTCAAATTCGCCTTTCTTGCAATCCGATCAGCTCTTTCAAACAATTCTTTTTTATATGATCTACCATCATTTGAAATCGCTTCTTGAAATTCAATTCGATTTGATAAATTTAAATAAACTTGTAAGATATCCGTTAAGAGTTTCTTGGGATAAAAATTAAATTTGTCTGGATCTTTAACTTTTAAACTTTGACACTTTGGTCCAGCAAGTGTTTCAAGATTGTAATCTAACATCGCTGCTAATCTAACCACAATCTCTGATTTCAAAAACGCATCTGGTGTTTCTTCCGTAAAAGTCTTCAACATATTCACATTCTCATTCGCAAGACTTAAGAATGAAGGACATTGTCGTTCATATGAATGTAGTTTACTTTCTTCATCTTTTCGTTCGGATTCAGGTAACGCCATCCAAGCTGCGCTATCAGCCATCTTGCTCTCGATCCGATTGACGTCTTGTAATTGTCGAAGGGTCTCATCGAGAAGATAGGTGACATCGTTCATCAATAAGTTGGCAAATCGGATAAAAGACTCGGTAGTGGATTCTTTCTTCAAGGCTATTCGGTGAGTTTGGTTGTTCCAAACTTTTCTGAGGATTAAAGCGATATCTGTATAAGATCAAAACCAATTGTAATTTAGCAATTAGATTGGTAACATTGCTGGATTCGACGATATATTGACTCACATCTTCTCGAGTAAACTTAAGATCCTCAAAAGGCATGTCAGCACAATGAAAGGTCGGTTCAGTAAAGTATTGACAGATCACGTACACTTATCATAAAACTGGGAATGACTACCCGTAATCTCAACCTCTGTTAGAGACCAAAAACGCAAGCTGTAAGACAAAATATGGCTTGCACGGCCTTACATTATCACAATAAGCCACTCACCGACGTAGATCTGCATCAATGCCGACATGAGATGAGACAAAGACATTGGATGGTAATTAAGGGCATCGCCGAGGACACCATTCGGTCGGCCAGGGATAGGTCGAGTGTTGAAGTACAGAATCTCAATGAACTTGGATTTCAAATGAAAGTTCTTCAGATAGGGTGTAGTGAGAAATACTAGGGTGAATGTCAAGAGTTCGTCTATCACCGCCGAAGATTGAAGTAGAGTGGGTGGTGAATGTCGTGAGATAAATGAGTAAAATTCAATCACGTCCTCGAGTACATATTCAGGTAGCATTCGAAAGGCGAGAGGGCAATCTTGAGGTAGGGGTAATCTGTGGGCACGAGCGAGCCAATGTCAACTTGCTGGGATACATGTGAATAGTGGAAATTTCGACTCACTTGATAGGAATTTTAGGATGTTGATGCGTAGGATCAACCATCCTGACACACCAAGTCATCACAAAGCTGCAAAAGCTGTTACACTTGGTTAGAAACTCGGGATCACACATCTGGACCTCATAAGCTGTCAACTTTGCTTCACGAGATGAAAGCTCCAACTAAAAAAATCAAAGACATCAGCCATGATGACAATCAACCTTCAGATTATCATATCCCACGAACCTCAAACTTCTCAATGGTAGCCTTGACTCGCGCCATCATAGGTGTCCCATCCCATCTTCGATCTTCTTTAAGTCGGTTTAACTCTTTCTTCAAATCCTCAATATCTCTGGCTCGTGTCTCCCAATTCTTGGCAACGGAAAGGATTCCCAATCTGAAGATAGCCACATTGAGGAAAAAAATCTCGCTGATAAAGTTTACAGGTGTCGCTGTGAGCATAAAAAAGAAAGAAAGGTTGGGCAGTAGGGGTAGGGTTCATGATTCAAGATTTCAGTCTGAGTTGATGATTCTCAATTCTCAAATAAACACTCACAGCCACTCGAATCCTCTTGGGTCAAGAAGGCGTCACATTCTTCTTTGGTAGCACTGATCTTGGTTTCTTCCATAATGTTCAAACGTTTAGAGTGTTTGAAGTAAAGAGGATCAACCTTGTCGATCTATGAAATTACAAAAAACACCGTTCTTAGGACTGTGATCATGAATATCAGAGACAAGAAGTTGAACCCGGTTGGGCGAACGTTGCTGATCATTGCTTACCTTGGAAAATTGAGGATCCAAAAACGGCCCAGCAAACTGAAGCAAAACAGCCTGAGTGTTGATGATGAAGCCATCTGATGATACGACAGCTGGGTCCACTTGCATTGCAGCCCGTTTGAGATTCAATTGAATCACCTGAGCCCAAAACTGCAATACACCCTCTCGTGGCTCAGGGCCTGCTCTGACGATGCGATCGAAGATGTTATATAGGCTGAGCTGCACCTCGAGAGCGATCAGACTCTATTTCTAGATGGAGAATGCGGTCAATTAGGGAAATGACAAACATGCAGCGAGTTGAGCGTTTGCTGCAGACTCGTGGTAGCTGAATCAAGATCACTACGAGGTCGTTCTTTGGAATTTTTGAAGTACTCTTCGGCGATGACCGGCTTAAATAGTGATCGTAAGACAATTCAGATGTCAATTTCTAAAGGTGTATCTTTCCAAGATTTGAACGAAAAGAAGGGCTTACTGCACGGTCAGGAAAGGTAGAGAGGGCTAAGACTGGGCCAAGTAAGCAAAAAACCTCCAAACTCTTTCCGTTTACCATATTTGGAGATGATGGCAGCCACTCTGCAAGGCGGGTGACCATCTTGGCTATCGGTTTGACCTCCATGAGATCCACCAATATACGGACCGGGGCTCTCCATTCGTGACCGCCTAGATGCCATAAGGCCATCCGCAGATTATTTTCGAGACAGATTTGGCAGATGACTGGTCCCATGATCTCCTCTAGCCCATCGTCTTGAAACCGCTGGGTGAGCTCGTGGATAAACAACCAAATATGAGGTGTCAAAGGATGAGAAGGTGGCGGATTGGTGAGTAGACAACACAACTGCATGAACATGTGCTCAGCTGGGGTCTTGTTATTGGGAAACATGGCGGGATCTTGCATAGCGAGACCGGTGTAACTAATGATCAGATTTTTCGCTTGGTCAATGAGCTGGAGTCTCTCTGTTACAGATGACTTGGAAGCCGAAACTTTGGATCTTTCTTCGATTGTCCTAATCCAGCATGATGAAAGATAGTCGAATGGACTTTGATTGGGGAGAGATGCATAGATGGTGGCCATTATCGGGTCATCAGTCATAGAAGATGAATCGAGAGAGAGCCGGGCGATCAAGAGTCGATCTGCGATCTCCATGGAGAGTTGTTGGGTAGAATCTGATGACCATTGATCAGTTAACTTGAATTCAAATCTTAAGCGGTCATGAAGGAGAGTACAGACTTGGAGTTTCCTCTTCAAGTTCTTTTTCGAGATCTGGAAGGTAAGTTTGACTCCATTGAGATTCAGAGGCAACTGATTCCTATGTCATGAAAGAAAGAATAAATAAGAGGAAAATAAATCCGTTTAAAATGAAATTACATTGGATGGACTAACCTTCAAAGTGACTTTAAAGACGTAAGATACAAAGTCATGTTCCCATTTGCTTAGTTGTTCAGCACTGAGATAAGTAGGTTTGGATGGTGGTTTTGATGTACGAGTTGGTTGAATATTAATCTTTGTAGGGGTAGAAGAACCTGAGTTTGAAGAAGTGATCGGAGGTAGCTGTGGGTAGATGCAATGATTTGATTAGAATCCTGAATTGATAATAATCAATGACAGTCTGATTGGATTACTTTTTGAGGTTGATTAGTAGTTTTGATAACTTTTGTAGTTTGATTAGTAGTTTGATTTGAATTTGAATTGGATGAGGATGAAGGTTGACTGAGTTTAGCTAATCTTTTTAATCTGATTTGTTCTGATTTGTTCTGCATCTGAAGCTGTTGGTGAGATTGGTTCTGATTGATTGTTTGACATTGTTTGATGGTGATGGTAAATGGTAAATGGTAAATGGTAATGGTGTTGGTGTTGGATTGGTTCGATCAACTCAGCTCATCAAGTCACATCAAGTCACATTGTGATCGTCAAGCTGATGCATATACTCAGATCTCACGCTCACACCCGGGGCCCCGAAGCCACGAGGCGCCCCGGAGGGGCACATGGCCGTGGCCAGGGCTTAGGCCACGCGTGGCCCTCACCACAAGCCCTTCATGACCTTCATAGTGCATGAAGTTCAGCTTAATTCCCCTTCAAAGAGTGCCTTAAGCAGGGAGTAGCACCTGAAGATGAGTTGGGCTATGATCAAAAGTTGTTTCAAGGGCAGGCCACACAGGGCTGGGCAGGGCTGGGCCACGGCCCTGGCCACAGCCCTGGCCACGAAAAAGGTGCCGGGTGTGAGCGTGACTCAGATCAAACCTCAGAATACAAGATTTTACTCTTAATTTCGAGTTTTGACACCCTAACACCTCAACACCTTAACACATATGTACTCAGTTTCAAATCTCTTTCAACATCTGGTTCCCAAACGCAAACAGAAACCCATCTCGAGAGTTCCAACCAAGAAGATTAACAAGTGGAAACTCTTCAAAGCTCATTTACCACCAAATCAACTGCCTTGAACACAGGTCATCAACATTGGACTTTGGTCTTTTCCAGCACCGAGCCGCCAAGATCAATAAACTTTACTTCAGTCAAGAACGAAGCACAAAGCACAAGCACGAGAAGCTCAAGTCGAGCGATTTGAATCAAACCCTACTCCAGTTTGTCAGGCAATCTCATTGATTCATACGTAATCAACCCACGCCCTATCAGGTTGCCCAAAACTCGCTGCGGATTGGTCACACTGGTCGAAAAGAACGGCAAAGGATTCAGCTTTTGATACAAACCACAGTGTATCTTACTCAGAATCCCTTACGAAAAAGATTGTTCAACGATGTATCAAGTAACTGGTTGCCGTGGGACTCATGGTCGGAGACTGGACAGACTTCTCACCTCTCTGATCGTGATCGTTCACTCATCTTTGCAGCTCACACTGAGCTTATCGACTAGGATGGAATTCTCGATACACGCCCTCGTGAAGCCGAATGCTAGCACATCGAATCTGAAGAATTCTTTGTCAGTGCCTTGTATGAAGAACCGAAAATCGGCAATGAAGAGACCAGAGGAATCATAGAAGATGTGGCAGAGAATATCACGAGCTGGACCTGTTTAAAGCGAATATCGATGTCTAGAAAGCACACCCTGGCACCTCGCGCGAGGGAGCAAACTTCACGAACCGCAATCATTGAATTTAAGAGACAAAAAGTCGTTCTTACATAGAGCAAGCAATCAGTCGAGATGAACACCTCATAACAATTCATCATCACTTCCACTCTTTGGGATTTGGATGTAAACATTCATCGGGGATTTCATCATTTCATTCCTCAATCACTAACACATTTATAACAAGTTTAGTGAATGGAGATAGATTTGAATGGAACTGGACTCCTAGATCTCCATTGGTAAGTAGGTAATGACAGGATTTAGATACATCCTACGAGGAATGACTTATTCTCCAAATGCAGGCGATCTGTAGCTCAAACTCGGGAATTACGTCATGGATTCGTGGCCCAGTGGTAAGGCGCTCGCCTTCGATATAGGCGTAGCGAGAGATCGTCGGTTCGACCCCGGCCGGATTCAATTTTTTTGCCTTCTGCAGACTCGAGTCCGATACATAAGCGGCTTGCCACAATGAGTATCATTGGTGTCTCTAGAACCGTACCATCTGATAAAGTAACATGATATATCATACATATAAATGTTTTTTGCTAATACACATATTATGATTGATTGGTACAATCTATGGATGATGTCAAAGATAGAAAGATAAATCAGAGATTTGGATTGGATTTAAGAACTCTGGAAATATGCATAATCAAATCTTTCAAAGATCTTTTTGGAGCTGAAGGAATTACTGGGATTTGCTTTGCCATTCATCTTTCAGATCATACTCATGCCCAGGCTGAAGACCAGATACTCTTTGATTTGAGCTAGCTATGAGTTTTGACTTATATACTGGGGCTCTAGATCATCTCTTGAAGCCTGATCAGATATGCTCAACCTAATGTTACAAATGTTTATGAGCAGCAAATTTCCAGAAATTGAGAGTGATAAGAAAACCCAAATGACTACCAAACAAAAAACACTAGACAAACAATGTGAGATGAAAAAGCAAAGAAAGGTGTCAACTCAAGTCTGATATATACACAAAAACCTAAAATTTTAATTTAAGAAAGCTTTTCTTGAACTATCCTACTCGTACCGGTCTGGATAAGCCTTGCAAACATCAGCCGTGCTGAGGAATTCTTGCTTCAAGCTCTTGGAGCAAGATTTTTTTTAGGCATGACTGGTGTGGGGTCCAATGTTCGTGAGGACTCGCAATCCTATTTTCGGACGGTGTGGAATACATTTTTTCCGGAGAATCCAGAATCATCGTGAGAATATCCGCTGACAGTGATGAGCATCATATTGGATTGGATAATGGCCTTGCTTTCTGTTATCAGCCGGTCATCAAACGCGACAGCAGAATTTGCGATGGATTCAGGTTTGATGATTGATCAGTACAAACCCTTCAAATCCGCTCCCACTCGCGGTACCAGGTTGACACCCATCACTATTTGGGATCATATCACCTTGAAGTTAATATATGGAACTGTCATGCTGAAATCAAACGACCCCCATATCTCGATTCGAATCTTCATCTTGAGCTATCTTATATCTACAACTTCGCGATTCATATTTCATCACCTTTCAACTTTGATGGTGCTTCAATAATTTTATACGACCTGGCTGAACTCAAGCGGTGTTGTCAAAGCTCACTATCAGTGTATATTCCATGAATCATTAAACTCATCCGTATGAATGAACTTTGATACTTCGATACGCTACGTCCCAGAAATACGCTCCAATTGCGATGGGATCTTGAAGATAAAATGTTTGATCGCTTGATAGAGAAACTAGAGAAACTATATAGATACTCTACGGTGGGTATCTGTCCTTCATCGATTTCAGCGAGATACCCTGCTGCCTGCAGGAGATTACACATTCGGATGTCACCTTGACGCGAACGTATGATCATTTCATTCGGCTAGGGATATGTTCGACCACTGGAGACTTATGAATTTCACCGCTATGAGATGACAACAGCTATGCTGTGACTGGCGCGCAACTATCACCTGAAATCATGCTTCTAGACTTCGCTAAAGAGCAATCAAACCCACGTTCATACTTTGCTTGCGGGAGGGATGAAGAACTCTGCAAGATCGATAAGGAATTTGAAGCATATATAAGTGGTGAACTATTCTTCTTCATTTCTCTATTGCTCATCACCACAAAAGTACATTAGGTATATATCCTCGCAGTCTCATATAATCTTCTAATCTACTCGATTATACCTACAATCTGTTAGTAGAACCGTGAACGTCTTCTAGTATTTTTGTACATCATTATCTCGAATCCCCAAGAGCCTGAAATCGACGACAAGTAGTTCGCGATCTGATCCAAAATGGCCCTGAGCAAATACCTTACCTGTGTCATCTTCGTCATCTTGTCTGCGGGTCAGTCTCATCGCTTTGCTTGTTGTGATGTCGACATATTGCTCTTGGATGAAAATCATACTGATTTTGTCTGCCGGTGAAAACAGCCTTGATATTCAACCATGGAAGCTCGGCGTTTCCTTTGAATAGCATGCAAACGTAAGTGCGTGATCACCTCATGGTCGACTGCTTTCTTATCAACTGCTTGCACAGGCCCGATGTAGTGAAGCGTGACGATATTTCTGGATTAACGAGCCCTGACACGCTCATGAAACCTGACGAAGAGGTTAAAGTAAGCTTCTCAGTTGATGATGATGCCCTTTCATTTCCTTGAGTAATCAACGAGGTGTGACATGATGCAGGATGAACCCGATGCCACCGAAGAGTCGGATTCGGTAGCCCACCTTGGTCACCATCATCATCATCACCACCACCATCACCACCACCATCACAAGCATGACCATGACCATTGCTAGAGCCATCATATGATCCGGAAGATACAGATGTCGATTCAGACGCTTCATATTCTTGAAATGTAGTAAACAGTTTGAAATAGCAGCCGCTCTTTAGTCAATCACCCCTGTTATCTTATCCTACTTACCTTATTCCAATGTTTGTCTGTGTCGTAAACGAAAAGATTTACTCAACGTGATCTCCTTCTTATAATATTCTTGAATAGTTGAAACCTATCATTTCATTTTTGTTGCTTTTCCAATCCAAACTACCACGTAATGGTAGTAGATACAGTTTCTGATGTAGAAGTTGAAGCCCTTCAAGCTTTGTTATCAAGATAATCGAAAATTATGTTGAGATGCATACATACTGAGACGATTCTCAAGCAAGAGGTAGCAAGAAATGAGAGTGCTAAACATCTTACGTGGTCAAAAGAATCGCAAGACGTTATCTCTCGCGAGTCGATATTCTTACCCGTAATGACAAATCTCTACGCAGGTGCGTTTGAGATCCCAACACGATTTTTTCAACCTATAAATGCCGGTAACTCACTTTATGATATGTTTCTGTTGAATTATCCCTCGCAAGCCACTTCATTTGGGTCGACCAAATTATCAGCTTTGTTTTTAGTGGAGCCAAAGTCTCAGCTTCAGAATGTGAATCCACGAAGTTATTGGACTACCTTTTTAGCTGACATTGACTAATTGCTCTCATGAGCTCAGAGATTTAAGGTTTTTCAATGGACAATTTAGCCCAATGATGATGACCGGTATCAGTGGCTTTAGTATTATCAACTTACATTTTTCCAGGATATGTGATTTCAAATAACCAATTTTGTTCTCGAATCTTTTGCATACAGGTTAATCAGACAACATGACCTTATGAACCAAGCCTTACCAAACAACCACTCAAAAAAACACTATCCACTTATAACTTGGTACAATATGCATCCACAATACTAAAAAAATCTCAATCCCACCTTGTGTATTCAAACCCCTTAAATCATAAATTTCCACTAAAACCTTCAATAAAACAAAAAAACTGCATTATAATTACAAAAGAATTTAATAAACTCATTTAAATTTGAGAAAAAAAAATAACACAAAAAAAGGAAACAGAAAGAGGAAAAAAAAGAAAAATAGAAATGAATGAGAAAATAAATCTCTTGAATCTGTTTTTTTTTCGATTATAGAAAAGATTTAAATCTGAGTTTAGAAAATGTAAAAGTGAAATCAAAACAAAAAATTGAGAGAAAACAAACAAACAAACAAATGAACGTGTGTAGAGATTTATAAAACTCCCTCTTCTTCTTCTTCTTCGACTGATTTTAACCCATCTCTTTGAAAACCTTTGCTAACTACCCATGATACTACTCTTTGAAAGAAAAAAGAAATATCACCAAAAAAGAAACTTACAATTTCGACTACTAGTTTAATTCCATTCCATTCCATTTCAATCAACCAATCACTCTTAAACAAAACGTTACAACCCAACCGACCAAACCAACAAAAAATCTTAACCCTTGACAAACTAACTCCTCGACATATTTGCTGTTTTCAATTGGCTATTTTCCTTGTCTTGGTTTTCAAATTGTACTAGCCCATTTTTCAAGATCTACATCATCCTCTGAAGCTTTTAAGAACCATTCAAATTCAGTTAACAATTTAGGTGTTGGTCTGGAATCATGATCTTTCAATAAACATGCATCTAAGAAATCACAAGTCCATTTTGAAAAATGATCCGATGGTAATTTAGGTGCTGGATCACTATAATGTTTTCCAAAACAGAAAACAAACAAAAATGATTAAAATGATATATTTTCTTAAATAATCATTAAAGAGACTCACTTGACTACGTGTTGAAGAAGTTCTAAGATACTCATTTGAGCACCACCACCTTCAAGACTAACCCCATTCGGTTTCTTTTTCTTCTTCTTTTCTTTATTCTCATCTGTATTTGACTGAGCATCAGCCAATTTCTTGGCTTTTCTCTCTTCACGTTTCTGAATAGCTGATTCTAAAGATTGTTGGATTTGTTGGGATCCAGGTCGAGCAGGTGATAAAGTTAATTCATCTGTATCTGAACAAGATGAAGATGATGGATCATCTTCTGAGAATGGAAATCTTCCTAAGGCTAATTCGATCAAAGTGATACCTAATGACCATACATCTGATTTAACTGTGTATTGTGCGCCTTGAATTCGTTCGGGCTGGATTTGTATAGAAGGTGATATGAGGAATAGTCAGTGTTGGAATCTAATTGTGTGACCCTGCATATGATGACTTCTTGATGCTCGATCATATCCTTCACCGCGCAAAAAGGAAAGGTATAACCACTTTGTATACGTACACTCATATAAGTACTTGTACCGACAAATGTATCAGCAATTGAATTGATCAGTTCGCCAGATACACCGAAATCGCAAATCTTGATTTGTCCTTGAGAATTGAAAAGTACATTTGAAGGTTTGACGTCTTTTCGAAAACGAGAACGAAGCCAAAGGTTTGTATAAGTGATCGAGATTCATTTTCCAAACTTTGATCGGGTTGTTGAACTTGTACTTACCTCTATGGATGATTCGATGAGCATCGTATAGGTAATTGAGACCAGAAACAACAGCAACCGTGATTTTTCCAAGGATAGGCTCAGGTACAGGACCGGATTTTTTATAAATGTTGTCCAATGAACTAAGATTAAGATTTTTTCAAAATCAGATCAAACGAAAAAGAGAAGCTGGAAAAAGTACGAACCCTTTGTCCATATGTTCCATACACATACAAATATGAGGATCTTGTAAATAAGCACCATAGAAAGATATAATAAAAGGTGATCGACAATCGTGCATGATTTGGAGTTCTCTAAGAATTTGTCGCCTTACTGAAGGTTTAGCATCTATATGGACAAGCTATCAAAGAAAGAAAGAAAGGTTAATTTAAATGTTCGAAAGATGAAAGATGGAGAAAAGATACAATACCTTACGAGCCATGATCAATTTGGTTGGAACATGAATTGCTTTACAAACTGTACCGCCATTACCAGCCCCAATATCACCTAAGAGTTGAATATCTTCCGCATGTAAATCTAGTTTGAATTCTAATCCGATTTCAAGCGTAGCTAATTGTTCGGACAATTTGTTATGATAATCCATCCTATTTCCACTATTGGGTTCATGATGAGATTGACGAGATAAAGGTGAAGTAGTTGAATTAGATGAAATTGAAGATGAATCTGTTGATAATAAGTTCGATTTGTTTGAAGATGAAGTAGTTGTTCTACTATGAGATTTTTCTGATTTGTTTCCTGATGTGATTGGAGATGAACCTGCACCAAGGGCTAATCCCTATCAGAGAATAGAATGAACTGATTAGTACAGATCAGATCAGATTAGAATATAAAGTGAATGATAGTTTACTTTTTTATTCCTGTTCTTCTTAGCTTGACCCAGCATGATGATATGTTCTTGTTGATTTGTAAAATGAAAGAGAGATAGAGCGATAGAGTAGTATAGTAGTCGACAAGTTTCAGTTGAAAGTTTCAGATTCGATTACTTGGTCAGCTAAACTACATTGGAATTTAATCAATTTCATTTAACTCAACCTCACAACTATAGTTTACCAATAACTCACTTCATCAACTAATCTATCAAGATCACTGCCACACATCTTTCAATCCAGCTTCACACCTCAAAAAATATCTTCAAACATGCTATTTTTCAGGATGAGCCGCGACCCCCGTGTGCCAGCAAATAAGATGCCCGGCCGCTTAGCGTTTTACAAAAGTCGAAACAAGGACCGACCCCGGCATCCCGGCGCCATTTTTTTCTCATGGACCCAGCCCGGGTCCCGGACTCAGAGCCCTGATGAGATCACCGGGTAGCCGGGGAACTGCCAGGAATTGCCGGGAATTGTGGCTACTCAGGAATCCATGACATGGAATATTCCCAGGGCAAACACAGTGCTTGACCTTGCTTAAACTTCAATATCCATTTTGGTTGGTATTTGTGATAAGGATTTGAGATCTCCAAAATTTTTGTAGTGTAAATGTGATACTGTTAATACCTTCAACAGGGTTTGGCAACAAGGGTGAGGCATTGTCAATACACTGCAATGCGGGCAAAGATACCTTGGATTGTAAAATCCAAGGTACCCTTGGAGACTGTGTGTCCGAGGAATCAATCCAAGGCTTTCTTTGCCCTCAAAGATTGCCTTGGATCATTTACTCAGACATTGCGCCTGAGGCTATTGCCACCAAGGATACCTTAGATTTTCTAATTCAAGGCATCTTTGTTGGCTATTGTGGGTGTTGGGTGCTCTGCTGAGGACTCAAGGCTCACTAAATGGGCTAAAGACAGGTTATAATCTTTAAATGATTATTTTTATATTTCAAATATAAAGTAATTACAATTGAAATTATGAAGAGAATAGAAAGGAGGAAAGGGGGACTGGTCTGTTTGGATAAATCCTGACAGACTACAGTTAAATGACTCCTTAAAAGGAAGTTTTAATTATGACTATAATGAATTATAAAGGATGAAAACTAGATCCAAGGCTTTCCTTCAAACCTCTATTGACAGAATGAAGAGTGAGGTCTTGATCACTATACTGGTTGTTCTTATGGTCACCAACCTAAGTACTTGTATATAGGCCACTACCCTTCGAGTTGTTGAAGGTCACCAACCTAGTAAAGAATCTACTTGGGGAAAGTAGAGGACCCAGGGAAGTGAAGGAGTATTACTTATTTTAGTCAGGAAGCTATTTAAAGTAATGAAGTGAATAACTAGTCTGATTATTATAAGACTCTTGATTATGAACTTCAATAGGCGGTTTTAAGTTAGGGCCCGTTTGGTTGCGATTATTTCACTGTGATTATGCCAATACCACAGTGAAATAATCGCGACTCTTTTGTCACTGTTTGGTAGCCGAAATATCCGGATTATCATACAACAGTATTCGTTGTATAATCTCATAATCTGCCTTAATTCTATAAACTCTTTTTTGAGTTTATTTCCAATTGTAATCGGAATAATTCCGTACGTGAGACAGGGACTTGTCGAAATTTCGACTTTTTCTTTCCTCATCCCTCATACCTCCCTTTTTCCTTTGACTCCAACCCATTCCATTTCTTCCTTTTTTTTCCTTCGACTCCAACCTGTTCCATTTCTTTCTTTTTTTCCTTTGACTCCAACCCGTTTCATTTTGTTTTTTTTCTTTCTTCCTCATCCTCTTTTTGATTACCTTCACCTACTTCCATCCTGTTCTTTCAATCACCTACTTCAATCAACTTCTTCAATCCTCTTTTTGATCACCTTCACCTACTTCCATCCTGTTCTTTCGATCAACTTCTTCGATCAACTTCTTCAATCCTGTTCTTTTGATCACCTACTTCCATCCTGTTCTTTCGATCAACTTCTTCAATCACCTACTTCCATCCTGTTCTTTCAATCACCTACTTCGAATCCTGTTCTTTCGATCAACTTTTCGAATCCTGTTTCAATCGTGTTATTTTGATCAACTACTTCAATCAACTTACTTCGATCAGTGTTCTTTTGATCAACTACTTCAATCAACTTACTTCGAATCCTGTTCTTTCGATCACCTACTTCCATCCTGTTCTTTTGATCAACTTACTTCGAGCAACTTCTTCAATCAACTTACTTCGAGCAACATGCCAAAGGCCGATAAAGCGGATAAAGCTTCAAGCACCTTGACAGCTCCAAACTGGACCAATGCAAAGTCTCGAGTGGTGCTTGATGGATTGATAATGCAGAAACTAGCTGGCAAGAAGGCTGAATCAGGTTTTAAGAGCAAGGCCTGGACTGACGTGACCAAGGATTACAATGCTCAATTCAAAACTGATCTTACCAAAGGACAACTCAAGAACAATTTTCAAACTGTCAGTAAATCACTTTTGTTTTTATATTTTATTTCATCTTTTCTTGCTGACTACTACCTATTATGATATACAGTTGAAGAAAGCATATGCCATTGTACACGACTTGCGAGGAGCTTTGGGCGCTGGATGGAACGAGGCGACTCAGATGATCAAGGCAAGCCCACAGTTCTGGAAGGAGTGGAACACGGTGAGTATCTACTCATCACCTGTAATCAAACTTTATGCTGATTGTGATCATTGTCTGTTTGATCTCTGTAGACTCATCAAGGCGCTAGTGTATGTGAGAAGAAACCTTTCCCTCTATACGACCTCATGCACGAGTTGTGCGGTAACACCAACGCTTCAGCCGAAGGAATTGTTGGAACCCAGACGATTCCAACCAATCAAAACCTACCGAATAGTCAAATTGATGAATCTCGAGATAAATCGCCATCACCTAGTGAAAAGAATGTATCCAACCATGGTTCCGATGATGAATCTGATTGTTATAAGCTTCCTCCACCATTGAAGTGTCAAAGTAGAGCTCGAGGTAAGCTCTTTTGTCTCTTGTTTTTATTGTTCATTTTCTCTTTTGATTATAATTAATGCTAACCTTCTCATCAAACTGTTTCAGCTCGAGAAGCTTCTCTCTTACCTCATGAAATGGCATTGGACCTGGATGCTAACGACAACTCTGACGATGATGGTATCACTCAAACTGCTGCGACTCCGACTCCCAAACCTCGGTCTTTCAGCAAAAAGCCAGCGCCTCGTGTCCGACCAAACACCAAGGCCAAGCTCGCCACTTCTTTGGACAACTCAGCTGATCTACTCAAGACCCAAGCTACTCAAGCAATTCAACGCGAGAAATTGAAAGCTGACGCCATCGCTGCTCACGATGCTGCGAAGGAACAGATCCTAGTTACTGCCGCTCAATTGGATCGAGAGTCCCTTACCTTCAAATTCACAGCTGTCCCTTCTCAAGACAAGGCCCTGGAGATCTTCAACAAGTCCTGGCGAGAGCACTTTGACGACACCGCAGCTGCAACTGAAGCAATCCTCCTGTTTGAACAGGAGGACAAGTGTCGAACTTTCATTAATTCCGATCCCGAGTTGAGATGGAGTTGGCTCGCGTTGAGCCTTGGGTATAGAATTGTACCCAATGTCCAAGATGGTGGTCAAGCTGCTTAACATCAAATTCGAATTCAAATTTATATCTTAAATTACATTATGATATTATATTATACTTTTGTTTTATTTTATAACATGCTATTGTTTTACATGATACAAGGTTGTAATCTACAAACTGTCCTGTCCTGGTTTAAAAAGTTTGTCCGAGTGAAATAGATATGTTTGTAGTCTCCTTATTGGTTTGAGAATGAAATAAACAAGTGTTATCTTTTTGATTTTAAGATTCTAGCCTCGATAGCGAGGGTGAGCAATATAAGCAGCCCACATATCCATCGCCATTTGATCTCTATCATCGGCCGCCTGAGTTCGAAGACCAGCGGATGCTACTTGATAAGCATCCACTTGTTGATTGGGCCATTCTTGAGCCTGGTCTTCATCATCGTCCATAAAGAAATCGGCGCCGCCTTTCTTGACTATAATATTATGCAATACACACATTGCAATAACTAAAGTGGACTGCAATTCAATTGAGAATGAATGCATATTGGAAAGCATCTCAAATCTTTTTTTAATTACTCCAAAAATTTGTTCCATGGCGTTTCTCAAAGTCAAATGCCGCAAGTTGAAAAGTTCTTTATAGTCTCTGGGCCCAGCATTACCTTGGGCCCATTATTGTAAATGATATCTAACCCCTCGACAACACCGCAAGCGCTACGCAACGCAATGGATTTCGACCTATTTCCATTGCGTTGCGCAGTCGGCGCATTATTACGCTACGCAACCACTCCGCAATGGGGTGTTTTTTTTGTAACTTGCCGTTGCGGAGCGGTTGGGCAAATATTGCGGAAAATGCGCAATATTGCCCTATTTCCGCAATATTTGCCCTAAATAACCGTCAAAAACCAACCGCAATTGCGGTGCGGGTTTCTGACCAAGGGGTTTTTTGAACCCGGATTGCGGAGCGCTGGCACCGCACTATATTGCGTTGCTATTGTGGCGCCCAAAAGCGCTACGCAACCGCACCACAACTGCAACATAGTGCGGTGCTCTTGCGGTATTGCCCTCGATAAGGAGTTAGAAATCCAGGTTCGTTTGCATACCCAGCATCGACAAGGTAGAAACGACCTATTAGAAGGGAGAGATTAGAATTGGAATAGTAGTATTGGAATATAAGAAAGGTGGTAAATGACGTACCTGCTGGGACCACAAACCTACCCTGCTGCCGAGCCACCTCCAATACTCTGGCATCGGCAGCAGAACCTTTGAATCCAGCCAGAACAAACGTGAACATTAAGTTGAATGAACACCCAGCCAGGATGTTCTGGCTCAAAAAGCCTTTTCTATTCCGGTAAAGCTCACGTTCGCTGTTCCGAACCACAGCTCCGATGTGGGTGCCATCGATGGCACCTATACAGTCCTTAAACCAAGGATATTGCTTGGGATCCAAGGCGATTTCAGGTGGACAAGGCGTTTGGGGACCAGGTTGACGGATGAACCTATCCGAAACTTGTTCTAGTGCATTCGCAACAATGTGGAAATAGCGGCTCGTGGTTTCTTTCGAGTGTTGGAATCTTTCAGAAGTCATCCGATTAGAGGCGTAATTTCCAATAGTATACAGGAACATCATGACCTGTTCTCTAGTATCAATATGGATTGAGGACGTGGGATGTTCATCTAAAACGTCCATCAGAGCGATGACCGTGGTCTTGTTCATGTGACAGACCTCGTGGAATCGAACCGGACTACCCTCAAACACCTCTTGAGAATACTGATGACCTCGGAGTTGAGATGTACGGCAGGGAATGCTTGGAGCTAGCTCAGCAGCTAGAACTTCTCGGGCCAAGATTATGTTGTTCTTGATCTCCTGTCGGAGAGCCTCTTCATTACCATCTGATTTGAATAAATCGTCACTTCGAATCGTGAGGATAGAATCCAAGCTGTCGATGGATGCAGTTGGGGAGAGATAATCGGACATGGTGGTTTTTACCGTCCAATGATTCAATTGCTAATCATTTGGTTTTGAAGTACCAAACGATTATTTTTAAAAACCTCTCATTACCACTCATCTCGCGATTAATTGTGAGTTGAAACTTTTACGGTAGTTTCAGGTCCATTAATGCAGTACACTTTTACTGTAGTATGTGATAATCTCTGGCAACCAAACGGGCCCTTAGGTTTTTTTGTGTATTTTTACGCTACAACAACTTGCCTGTTGTTGTAAAATATGTGTAAATTTTTTACAGCGGGACACCTAAAAAGGTGTCCCGAATTAAAAATATGTTGTTTTACGAAGATTTTTGTTACAAACAACTTGTCCGGTTTATAAAAATTACACAAAAAAAATGAACTGGAAACCTCCTGATGTAACTTCAAAGTTGTTCTTTAAAAGTGATGTGTAATAAAAGCTTGAGGGAAAATCTGTGAAGGCTGAGAGAGGAGGGGTTTATATACTCTCCTCTCTAAACCAACTGTAGTGATATTCGTTACTATCACTACATTGGTTCAGGGTTAATCACTACTATATGTTATGATCATTATTATCAATACTTAATTACATATACATGTTATGTACAATATGTAATATAAGCATTTTGACTCTCAACACTGAGTTATGAGGTGTAATTGGTGTTTTATTACATATTACAGGTTGTTTTAAGTGTACATGTATATGTAGTAAGTGTTTTGGTACATTGGCTTACATGTAACATGCAGTATAAGCACAGTATGTAACATGTAATTAGTTCCATACATAATGTTTTTCAATGTTACAAGTTAGTTTTGGGTAGAGCTGTGACCCAGCCCTGGCCCCGCGCGGCCAACTTTGCCTGCTGGTTTTCTAGAAGCAGACAGTACGTGCCCTGACACACCAAAGCCTACTTAATAAGGGTCATAAGATCCTTGTGAGCACCCGGGCGGCCCGGTCTGCCCTAGTGCCCGTCATTTTTTTTTGTTGAATAATATAAAAAATTTCCTTTTGAGTTGGGTCCCGTGGCTCTCTCCAAGCTCTGAGTAGGCTGATATAAGTTTCATGTACAGCTTTATACACCTAGATGTGCAACAAACACCATAAATCCCCCCTATGGCCCCTTTTACCTCTTAAAATCAATTCGGGGTGTGCCCTGGCTGGCCCTGAGTGTTTTCTGGATCCCCTCGGGTCTGCCCAAGGCCAGGCAATGCCCCGGGCCGCCCTGTCACACTCAGGGCCGGGTCACAGCCCTAGTTTTGGGTACATGTATATGTACTCAGGGCTGACAGCTGTGCTGCGGTCCAAACTTCAAGGGAAAATATGTGTTCAAGACATGTGCCAATACCGGAACCGCTCCGCCACAGATAGCGGTTTTGGAGTGATCCAATGGTCCGCTATAGCCTCCAAATTGTATAGCGCAGGCTGCAAACCAAAAACCAGGGCCGGGTTCTACCATAGCGGAGCCAACGCTGCGCTACCCGGCCCAGGAGGTTTTACTCCAATATATATCGGCCGTTGCTATTTGCAGCCCACAAGAAAACCATGTAGGCGCTGGCCAAATTACGCCTACATGAGTGTTTCCCACGAAGAAGCGCCTACATTTATGATGTAGGCGCAGGAAACCATCCAAAATGACGCCTACATGTTAAAAAACCCATGTAGGCGTCATTTGGTTACGCCTACATTCAAAAAATGAAATGTAGGCGCTATTTTCGAGCGCCTACATGGGAAATCCAATGTAGGCGCTCAAAATTTATGCCTACATTTTTAAAAATGAGCGCATACATTCAATTTTCAGCTCAAATAAGCGCCTACATGCAGTCCTGCATATGTAGGCGCTACAAATCCGGCAACTACAACTCCAGACTGGTTTGAAGGGTAATGAAGAACAATTTTCAAGTCAAAATGAGAGTATTGGAAGACGGAAAAAGCAGTTTGGACTCAAAATGAGAGTATCGGAAGACGGATAAATCAGTTTGGAGTCGAAATCAGTGTATTGGAAGACGGAAAAGTCACTCCGGAGTCAAAATGAGTGTATCAGAAGACGGAAAAAGTAGTAAATTATTTCAACTCTGAACTCAGTTTGGAGTCAAAATGAGTGTATCAGAAGCGGAAAAAGAAGTAGATTATTTCAACTCTGAACTGCTATTTACGTCTTCTGATACACTCACTTCAGAGTTGAAAAGAGCATATTCATCTTCCAATATGCTTAACTGCTTTTTCCGTCTTCCAAAACACTCATTTCAACTCCAAGCTGCTTTTTCCATCTTCCGATACACTCATTTCAACTCCGAACTGCTTTTTCCGTCTTCCAATACTCTCATTTTAACTTGAAACTTCTTCGTCATTAGCCGTCAGACCAGTCTGGAGTTGTAGGTGTTGGATTTGGAGCGCCTACATATGCAAGACTGCATGTAGGCGCTTATTTGACCTGAAAATTGAATGTAGGCGCTCAAAAATAGCGCCTACATTTCAAATTAGATATGTAGGTGCTTGAAAATTACGCCTACATTCTGAAATTTTGAATGTAGGCGTAACCAAATGACGCCTACGTGGGTTGTTTATCATGTAGGCGTCATTTTAGATGGTTTTCAGCGCCTACATCATAAATGTAGGCGCTTTTTCGTGGGAAACACCCATGTAGGCGCTGCCAAAACAGCGCCTACATGGTTTTCTTGTGGGCTGCAAATAGCAATGGCCTATATATCGGAGTGAACCATACATACAGATGGGCACCCTTTCCCCCATCTGTATTCACCACTTCCTTTTCCCAATTCAATCATGACACCATATCAAAGGCCATCGTTTCACACCATGGACGCTGCCGCCCACACTTGGACCTTCTTTCATTTGGATTCCAGCTGGTCCATGGCCAAGTTGTGGTTCACTGCTGTTCAAAAATTTTCGAAACAAAAACGGTAAGCATCTTAATCCTTTCTCTATCACTCAATCACTTGACTGACCTCTATAGTTATTTACTAATTGTGTTCTCTAAAATGATTGTCTTATCTAATTGTCATGGCCTCCATCAGTTCTCAAAGCTCCAACCAAAACAACCTCACCGTTCCTGCGAAGAGCATCAGAAGTCTTTGAC